ATAATAATTCGTAAAATGTGCACAAGGAGGAGGGGATCAGAAAACCAACCAGAGCTATATACCTATCCGCCCTTGTCCCCTTGGAAAATAAAACAAAGTGTCTAGGGGAAACATTGCAATTCGTTAGAGACATGTGATTGTAGCCAATTTCAGTATTATACTGCAACACACTCCCTCCAATTGTAAAAGGATATTATATTTAGGAGTATATTATTATATATGTCCATTTCAAACAAACTAAGTAAGTGGGACAAATATTGTAATTATAAATTACTAAATTATAATTAACATATACTACTATTAAATATATTGGTTTCCCCGTAAAGTTGTCATTTTCACCGCAGGCTGTCAAATTGTCCACCGTTAGTTGTGAGTACCAGGGTACCAGATCGAAAAAAATATTTAAAAAAATATTCTTTTAAATCAAAATTTATATTCAAATCAATTTTATTTATTAATTTTTCCTTCATCACATTAAATCTCTAATTTTGGTTAAAATTATTTTTGAATAATATAAGAGTTTTCTGTTTTTCCTTAATTTTATTTTTTATTTTTGTAAATATTTATTTATTTAATTTTTTTTGTCATGTTGGGATAGAAGTCTAAGTAATTTAGATAACACAGGCATGACAAATTTTTAATTAATTCAATAAATATATTATTGACTAAAAGTCTTTAATAAATGTTTGCAGCAAAAACGTGTTTACAATTTTTGAATTATACATTTAAATAATTTATATTATCTCTAAAGCTTTTATATTATATCATAAAAAAATATGGGTTTGAAATATGTAGCCTTAGCCGTTCGAATAAACTTAAAAATTAAGTTTCAATAAATGCGATCTCAAAAATATATAAATTTCATAATATAACCAAAATTATTAAATTTTATAGCATATGATATTAAAAAGTTTGAAATTATATGTATTTGAATTTTTTTGCTAAATATAAATGCTTAAATCATTCTTATTTTAAATAGATTTATTTTGGACAAAACAGGAGTTTGAGAGTCAAACTTAATAATCAGCTATATATACAAATAAAATTTCAGAGGGTTATATGATGTACATTTTAATTTTAAATAAGCTTTATATACCTTTTCAAAATAAAATGAGGCTTATGTAATTTAGATAAAATAGAGGAGTTTCAATGTGTTTTACTCATTTTATTAATTATCATAACCATGAATTTTACATGAGTTAAGGTTTCATTCAGCTGAAATATTTTTCTAGCTACACCCATGACATAATATACTATACTTTAAGATACTAAATTTTTCTCACACATATATAAAATAAATAGTTTAAAATGCTGTGCTGTGATTTGTTTCTTTAAATAATATATTATACTATATCGATTGAAAACCACATTTTTAACCAGGAAAGATGAATAGGACCTAACAACTTATGGGTTGTCTGGATTCTAACAAAAACACTTTTAAAAAAATATATTTACATAAATCAAGATAAAATTCATCTTATATATTTACTTCGTATATTGTAAAATTACTTTTAAAATTATGATTTTAGGGAGTACTTGGATAGAAACAAAACTATGGTTTTAAAAATATTTTTACAGTATACAAAGCAAATATATGAATAAATTTGTATCGATTTACAAAAAAAATGTTTTTGAAACGTATTTTTTGGGTTACCCAACCACCACTTTATTTTCACTCAAATACTCCATTATATCAAAACAAAAGGTTGAAGTGCGTCACCGTCACCGTCACCGTCACCGTCACCGTCACCGTCACCGTCACTAACCAACTTATCTTCTGTTTTTTTTATCCGCAGACCTTGTTTCAGAGTACTCAAAAAAAAATAAAAAAAATAGTTTTATTTTATACATGTGTGAAAAAGAATTGGCGGCAAACTTATTGAAGAGAAAATAGTTTTAAAAAAAATGGTTCAAGGTAATTTAAATATGCACGAAGAAAGACTATTGAAAACACTGGCAAAAATAATGGATTAGATAATACCAAGCCTTCCCAAAATGAGTAGAATAAGAACGAAGAGAACTATTATATTATTGTTGTTGATGTCATCGTTTTTGGGTCTGAATACACATAATACAATAGAAAATAATTTCAGTATCACATTGTTCAATGAGTGCGACAAATGTTGGCAAAAGAACGAAGAAGAAGAAGATTTGAGTGCGACGAACATCAATTTAGCGTTCATGTATAACGTTCGAGTCCTGAGAAATAATATAGGTCACGATAATTTAGTTAACATAAAGTTCATCTTTCATATATATATATATATAACCATCTAAAATCATAGCCATACGCTTGTTATTTTTAAAATATAAAATTGTTCTAAAAACCATGAAACTTTATTGGGAATTCCCAAGCAATAGTCTAAAGGACCCTAGAAATAATTAGAATATTGGGGAACACTCTGTGATGAGTGCCAAAACTAAAGGTACCTTCGCGCATTTCTGTGGTCATCTCTAAATCCAATGTAAGTCTACCTACCCTCTTATATTTTACTAGTTATATCCCCAAAAATGAATGATTTGATAACTATGAAGGTGTATGTTGTGGTTAAATTATTTGACGTTCAAACCATGTATATAATATTTGACATTTTCTAACTACTTAATGAACATCGAAATTTGTTAAAGACGTGAAGTTCAATATTGTATTACAACATGTCTGTCATATCTTAAATTTTTGGCCTAGAAGGTCAAGAATAAGCCTGAATTAAGAAGGACACTAAGACTAGTTGAGTAGAGGTCTCAGAAATATGCAGTAAAGATAAAATTATTCGCAAGGACTAAATAACAAATTAAAAGTTTTTTTCTGGATCGAGAGTATAAATATTTTTAAACACTATGGGAGAGTTTCAATGGCCAAAATGAAAGGGAGTAGAGACCTAAATATAAAAGAAGCAAGTTTCAATTTAGGAAAAAGTTTACGTAGACAAATCATATAATGATTAAAAGTTAAAGGAACTTAAATAAATATTATGAAATGATGGACCTATAATTTATTTTTTGAGACCCTTGAGATGTTTGAAGAAGGCTGCATGAATGACGAGTCATATAGGGTTAAAAGTGCAATCTCTGAACGTTGAATCTTAATCGAAATTATGAAAAATTTACCCAAAAATTCAGGAAAATTATGCAAATTCAGGAAAAATAGGAAAAGGGTTCCTAAGTGGAAGATTGAAATGGACCTCAAAGACAAGATTTAGTAAAGAATAGGAAAATTATGAAAAGTAATTATAGTTAACAAACAAGTAATAATCATTATTAAAGGGGACAAATGGCAAGATTAGCAAATAGCATTAGATGCAAGGTCAAAAGTGAAAGATTGAAATTCACCTCAAAGATAATTAAGTGCTTAATAGACCTGAAATTTTCAAGACATATTCTTGAAATCAAACAGAGTTTGGTGGAAGATTCAACATAAATTGTTTCTCAATATGATAGCTCACTAGAACAATGTCATTATCCCTATAAAAGTAGGAGGATATAAACTCCTTAGTCCTGACAATACAATCTGTAATTCTCACACACAATAGTACGAAAAAAAATTTTCCAAGGTATTTACAGCCATAAGATACCTAATCGTAAGTACCATTCTTCTCACAACTCATTAGTATTACTTTTCACAGCTAATCAACAACTATTCATGTTTAATCCGTACAGTCAATAAAATCCATGTTTGATATAGAGCTCTCCACACCATTTTTCATTTAACTCCTTAGTATATAGTTTCTATTTCCCCTCATGCATTATCTCGAACAATACTTAAGTCAAATTTTCCAATACATATATCCATATGTTCTATTTTTAAATATTATCATTAAACTATAAACTTGTATTAAAAAATGGAACACATAATCATGTGTGACTGAAAACTTAATATAACAGATATAAAGAACTTGATGTATTTTCAATCTTATGCTTGATTCTTTAGTTTCTATATATATCATGTAATATGCCTTCCTATTTTCTTCAAATTTCATTTCCCCACTTACTCTTCATTTTCATATTCATTTTCACTCACGTGTTGATACTTGCACTGTGCTAAAGGTCTCCACTTATACTCACATTAATTTGTTTGAATAAAAGTCAGATATGATTGCAATTTGAGGTTGATATGACGATATGAATTTAGGCTAAAGACAAAATGCTGAGTGATAGAGAAATGGAGATAACATGTGATCAAGTTTTTCCTGACCATTTACACATAATTGAATACGGGTGCGTATGTGTGTCTGCAATAGAAAGAGATTCCATTGTTGCCAACGAGAAGGAGGTTCCATTAAAAGGTTTACAGTGCAAAACGAAAATCGAGGTAAAAAGCAGACAAAATGAAAGAAACAACAAAGCAAACATGGGCAAAACAAAATAAACGGTCCCTTGTCACGAATCTCTAGTCCATCAGCATTTGAATATGCATTTTCAAAGAAACTTCTTCAATCCCAATTTTCTGAACATAGCCATCAACATTGACCATGACCATACATCACAGTTTCTTCACTTTCATATTAAAAACCTATCTTTCAAGAAAATAAAAATAATGGTGCTCTGAGTATCTCCATAATTTTAATCAATATACTTCTATCAAATTTGAATCACAACCGAGTAGCCTAACCAAAGCATTCAGCTGTAGAAAGCAATCAATAATGTACATAGAATCTAATAAGTTAATCGCATTTTTCATTCCCTCGTTAAAATACTCATCATTCGCTTTCCCTTACGTTCTTTGCCAGTCACTCACTTAATTAGCTGCTTGCTTCACTCTTCCGGTTGCCGGCCGGAAAATGGCAATGACGAGAGGCGGCGGCTCACCACGAATGACGGTGGGATCTGGCGGAGGAGATCTGTGTGCATGTGGTTTCGGCTTGTTACTCTTTTTAGGTTTAACTGCTTTGTGCCTTTGGCTGAGCCTGCGACCCAATGAACCCAAATGCTCCGTCGCAGCCTTCATTGTTCCTGAACTGAACAAGACCTCAAATGCAACTACCAACTCCGCCATAATCTTCATGGTTGACTTTGATAATGGAAACAAGGAATCTGGGATTCGATACGACAAAGTCAACTTTACCGTCGGTGTTTTTCTTGATCGGAATAGCACCAGTCCGATTGGTAGCTCCACCATTTCTGGGTTCTATCAAGGGCGTAAGAAGAAGGCAAAGAAGTGGAGCTCCGTTGAAACACATGCGGGAGCACTTAACCGGACGGCGAAGATGGATGGAAAAGCGTACTTCCGAGTGAATTTTGCGACGTCGGTGAAGTACAAGATCATGTTCTTTTACACAGCACGACACAGATTATGGGGAGGAGCTAATGTTGCCGTCAATGATGCCGGCTTGAAAGATGAGAAAGATGATATCAGACTCGGACACTCCCTTCCGGTAATTGTGTCCGGCGCAACCCAGCTGGCTATCTCATGCTTCTGCTTCTGGGTCTTTTTGTCCATTTTGTACCTTTAGGTTTCTTTCTCTAGCATTTTTTTTCCTTTTTTTTTTTAAAACTATGACTCTGTTTTTGTTTCAGAGAAAGTAATCATGTTTGTTAGGACATTTGACGCAGGTTTGGATTTGGATTCTCAGTCAGTTTATAAGATTTTCTTTCAAACCATAGTTACTATGGAAGAAGGGTCTCTTCATTTTGGTTCCTTTCTATTTCCTTTCACTTTCCATCTCAACCATTAAATTGTATTTCAAATATTCGTATTTCGTATTTTATAAAATTATGAATAAAATATTAAATTCAAATTGCAAAATATTAACAGTTATCATAGGAAGTAAATAGAAATGGGGGAAGGGAAGTGGGGACGCCCTTTTCCCAATTATTGTTTGGGCCTCTCCAAATTATATCTATATATTTCAATTGTAGTTGTTATATTTTTTCCCGGGTTTTTTATGAAAAATAATGATTTTTTATTTGGAGCATTAAAAAAAACCTACTTCCCCTTAAACATAGGAGCTGGAAAAAGGACTATTTTACTTCTAAATATAATATTTTAATCATTTTTATCTTCAAAATATATAAGCTTTTCTAAATATTCCTATTAATTACACATAGCAAAAATATTAACTAATTTCTTACAATAATTAATTTACCTAATTTTTTAATATCGACAATTTAGTTATCTAGCTTTTATATTAAAAACCAAAGACAAAATCTGAGATCAATTATTAAAAGCAAGCAACTAATTATTAAATTAGAGTATCTGTTGAAATTTTTTTAATTTTTAACATATTTATTAATCCAATTAATTTTAATGGCATGTTTTATCATTAAGAATTAGTTATGTGTTTTTCTTCAAATGAAAAAGAGTGAATGATTATCTATTTAGAATTTTGAAATACTAAAAGCAGTCAATAATGCGCTAAATTATCTCAAGGCTTCGTTTGGTTTCGCCGATGCTTCGCCTGGGAAAGAGGGGGAAAAAGGCTCTTTCCTCCGTTGAATCCCTTTGGTTGGCTGAGCCGAGGAAAACAATTTTCAATTTCCAAAATACCCTTTTGGAGAGGAAAAAGATGAGACAGAAGAACTGAAATATTATTTTTCTTTCTCTAATTTATTACATACAACTAAATATCATAAATTCAATTAAGTCAAAATGTTCTCTCTGTTTTGTAAACAAGAGGCTCCCCCCCCCCCCAAGGGGGGCGGGGCATGCATGCTCGGGGTTTGGTCAAATAAGTATGGGCATCTAGGCGTTTAAATTACTTTATTTTAAGCAATTTAACGTATATAAAATAAGAGTGTAAATTTTGCTGATTCATTTTTCTTGGTATCCATACCTTTTTTTCTTTTTTTCCTGGAATTGGTATCCATACTTGAGAGACCCAATAATCCATATGAGTTATGAGACTATTTGGGCTACATCTAAAGATTGGGTCCAATAATTTGTCGGCGACCATCTGCCACTGCACACTCACATGGATCGCCGATCGGATTAATTTGATGGCTACAAGAACTGAAAGAATATAGAAGAGGATGTATGTATGCATGTAATAATTTCTTATAAACTTTAGTGGACAATATTTAAATAAAACATGAAATAAGGAATAGAACTACATTTCTATGGCTACAAGATGCAATTTCTATTAATCAAAGCCTGGTCCCAGGAAATGCTTCACTAATTACGAGTACATTGCCCAGTCATAACAAAGCTCATAACAAAGGTACAGGACACAACAATCAAAATCCAGTATTACACGGAGCTGTAAATTTACTTGACTTCTTGGAGAATGGAAAATATTGTTTTGAACAACTGTGAGAACGAGGAGTACAATTGCAGCAACAGAAGCAATAGTTCGCCAACGTTTCTGACAATAATCACCTCTTAGGGTTGCCATAGACCAATGATCTTTACAGTACTCATTCAAGTTTTGGCAAGTCTCCAAACAGTGATAACTGATCGTTGACTGAACGACATTGTCTCAAAGACCATTAAATAATGTGGCAACGTTTTTCGTATCACCTAAATAGTTCCTACCTATTTTCTAGCGAAGGAGGAGATCCACATCCTTTTCTGTGTTTATTAGCCAATCCAACAAAAGAGCATACTCAGTAATATAAGCATCTTCAGGATAATGACGTTGTTCTAATGCTATCATGTTACGAAACAAAAATTCAGCGTCATCATCCACCACAATACGTGGAATTTCAAGAATATGTCCTGAAAATTTCACGTCCAATAAGCATTTGCTCTCACAATCCTTCAACGTTACGTCTGCTTCTTTCAATGCATTCGCACTGTATGAAAGAATATGATTTCCATCTTCAACCTGTGGGTTTGGCTTCCTTTCAGACGTTTTTCTTTTCAAGCAAAACCATCTAAGAAGATATTTCACGTCCAATAAGCATTTGCTCTCACAATCCTTCAACGTTACGTCTGCTTCTTCCATTGCATTCGCACTGTATGAAAGAATATGATTTCCATCCTCTACGACATCCTCAACCTGTGGGTTTGGCTTCCTTTCAGACGTTTTTCTTTTCAAGCAAAACCATCTAAGAAGATCAGAAAAATGCTTTGGCTTTGGCTTACTTTCAGACGTTTTTCTTTTCAAGTAAAATAATCTAAGGAGATCTGTAAAATGATATATCCCAACAATAGAATCAGGCTCTAATTTTTGTCTGTCGTAATACTCGAAACACGCAAGAGTGAGCTCAAGAAATGAAGGGAGGCCACCGCAACGGTCAGGGGACAAAGCTTCATTGAACAGCTCTTCAATAACAAAGAATGGAAGTTGACTCTCAAGTAAAAGTAGATATAGAAGTACAGAATTTTCTAACCATGGCTGTGACAATTTAGCATCATTGGGTACCTCGTCCAAATAGGACATGATGAAGAGTTCACTGATGAAGACGGCATCCATTAATGTCAGTTTCACAAGTTCTTTTTCAGTAAGGTTTAAGCTCTCTGAATAAGAAGCACGGACTCGTGGCTCTAACTTTTGTACAAATTCAACCAATTGGCAAGGACTTGACTTGGTTCTTTGAATAAATCTTTTGAACAATATATGTTTATGCCTTTGCATGTTTTGCAGCCCCTCATTGCGACAATGAAAGGGGCCAATCGAGACAACTTGTGGAGTGTAAGCATTTTCTTTAAGATCACGAAGCTTAATGGGCACCCTGTAGATTCAACAATGCTGTGACAAACGACCATCTCCGCAATCTTGAATAAGTTCTTCGATATCTTTAGTTACCTCCAGTCGTGAAGCACTCATTTGTGGAGTACTAGTGTCAATCTAAACAAAATAAGGCAAAAAGAGTGTAATAATTGAGGAATGAAACAGAAGCAACCTTAAAAGTAAGGAAAAAGAAACTGAAGAGTGGTAAAGGAAGCATACGGTTTGCTGAGCACTCTCAAATCGATCAGTCATTTGTGGAGCAGAACTCAGAACCTAAATAAGGCTAAAAGAGTCTAATAATTGAGGAATGAAACAGAAGCAACCTTAAAAATAGTAAGCAAAAAGAAATTGAAAAGAGATAAAGGATGCATATACCGCCAGTGAAGCAGTACTCATTCGCGGTGCCGCAGTCGACCACGTCTCGATCTCCATGACATGTGGATCAATCTAAAGAAAATAAGGCTAAAAATATTGTAATAATTGAGGAATGAAACAGATCGAAGCAACATTAAAAATAGCAAGCAAAAAGGAAGCAAGGAAAATAAGAAAAGCCTTCAAAATTGAACTACTAACAGTGGTAAAGGATGCATACTTGGAAGCCTTGCTCCTTGATTTCAGGGGCAATTGTATCTTGAGAACAAGTGCTTATCTAAACAAAATAAAAGCTAAAAAAGTGTAATAAAACAGATCGAAGCAACCTTAAAAATAGTAAGCAAAAAGAAATTGAACAGGATGCATACGGATTGTGGAGGACTCCCCAAGGCCTCCGAGTCTTGCTGGTTAGTCAAGAAACAACAGGAGAATGAAAGTAGATCTGCTGTGTTCTAAGTTAAGAGTAAATATATAGATGGGGGCTTTTCTACCAATATACAGTAAAATTATATACCAAAATGCTTCACTTTTGAAACTATTTACTAATATATTGTACTTAAAACCATTCTTAAGAAGAATGATTTTAAAATTACACACAAATGGTTCTTGGCGTGAACGATTTTACTTTTTCCTATTCACTCTCCCACATACGAATCTCTACTAATTTTACATGCAAAAATAAGAATCCTTGACAATGCTCCCATGAGGCTACAACGTCTATATTGGATTAAAATTTGAAAATGCCAATTTTTTTAATTTTTTAAATAGAGCTTGATGAAATTTTCTGTCATTTCCTCTTCTTTTTATTTTTCTCATACCAAAACAATACGTAACAAAAAAATTATACTTTGATTGTAAATTTTTAATTATAACAATTAAGTTGCAGGACTAAATTATTATTATTATTATTTTGGTCACAAGCATAAAAAGTTCATGCCCCATACTTGATTTCTCGTCAAACTGAACAAATGCCATACGACAGGCTTTTTTTACCTAAATACTACAAAAAGTAAAATTATATACTAATATGATGCACTTTTAAAAGTATTTACTAATATGTTATACTTAAAATCGTTTTTCAGGTGAATAATTTTTAAAATCATTTATCTGCTGAACGATTTCTTTATAATCTATGCTTGATGTGCATGAAAGCTTGTGTGGCATTTATCTGCACTTAAAATCGTTTTTGGTAAGAATGAGTTTCAAATTACACACAAGTCGTTATTGGCGTGAACAATTTTAGAAATCGTTCTTGGTGTAAATATTTGTTAAATAAAGAAATCGTTCAACAGATAAATGACTTTAAAAATTATTCACCTAAAGAACGATTTTAAGTATAGCATACTAGTAAATACTTTTAAAAGTGCAGTATATTAGTATATAATTTTACTTTTTGTAGTATTTTGGTAAAAAAGCCTGTCGTGTGGCATTTGTTCGTTTTGACGAGAAATCAAGTATTGAACATGGACCTTTTATGCCTGTGACCAAAATAATAATAATAATTTAGTCCTGCAACTTAATTGCTATAATTAAAAATTTACAATCAAAGCATAATTTTTTTTGTTACGTATTGTTTAGTATGAGAAAAATAAAAAGAAGAGGAAATGATAGAAAATTTCATCAAGCTCTATTTAAAAAATTTAAAAAATTGGCATTTTCAAATTTTAATCCAATATAGACGTTGTAGCCTCATGGGAGCATTGTCAAGGATTCTTATTTTTGCATGTAAAATTAGTAGAGATTCGTATGTGAGAGAGTGAACAGAAAAAAGTAAAATCATTCTTAGCATGAACGATTTCAAAAATCGTTCGCGCCAAGAACGACTTATGTGTAATTTTAAAATCGTTCTTTTTTAATTTTTAAATATAGTATATTGATAAATAGTTTTAAAAGTATAGTGTTTTAGTACATAATTTTACTGTTTATTATATATTGGTAAAAGAGCCTATAAATGGGCGGCGCGGCGCTGTGTGTCTCAGCAAGTGGCTCCCACAACATTTAATTGACTTCCCAACAAAATGAGTCAAAACGCGAATTTATCATGAAAGTTTTTGATTTTAGATTCATATTAATTTTAGTATATATAGAAAAATGTTTGGTTTTAAGTTCATAATTTATTTTCCAAAGACTAAAAAAGTTAGAAAAAATCACAAATAAAGACCCATAAATTATCAAAATTACACAGAAGTCACTTAAATAAGTAAAATTACCATGAGAAACTCAGTCCCATATTGTAAATATGAAATCTTGCTGAAATGTCTGAAATGCTCCTTAGCCAAATGACAAGTTGACTATAAGAAATGATAAGTTCACTTTAGTGAATAACAATTTCAGTAGATCAAATCACAACTTGGTTGAAGGTATAACAAATGACAAGTTGACTATAGAAAATAACAAGTTTACTTTAACGAATGACAACTTCAGTAGATCAAATCACAACTTGACTAAGGGGTATTTTAGACATTTCGTCAAAATTTCATATTTGCAATATGAGACTAGGTCTTTCATAGTAATTTTACTTACTAAGTGACCTCTGCATAATTTTGATAATTCCGAGAGCCTTTATTTGTCATTTTTTCAAAAAGTTACCTGACCTTAGTAAATTTCAAATCAATCATAATGAATAAATTGAAATTTTAAAATGTTAGTAAATGGCATTTTTATCAAAATACTGTAAATATTAAAAATTATTGCCCAGGTGCTATACTATGAAAACTATTTCCCAACATGTTGCATTTTTTAGAAATCATTCACGACGCCGTGATGAACTTCCAATCTAATATCTATATTTTTAAAATAAAAAGCAGAAATCGTTCACCTATAGTAAACTACCAATCTGACAACTTTTTTCATTTTTGACAAAAATTACAGCTAAATACCCAATTTTATCAAATGCTGCCTATAATTTTGGAGAAAAGTACAGTTAATGACCCCATCCTCCCCATTCCCCCTCTGCTTTGTATCTCTTTCTAAGATTGACCAAAAAAAATTCTCTAAAGTATTGTTTGGTATAAGGAAAATGGGGAGTGATGGAGGGGAAAAATTTTTTAATGAACTATATTTAAAAAATTAGATAAGTGAGATTTTCAAAATTTAATAAAGAAAAGAAGAAGAAGTAATATAAAAGACTAATAAAAATTAATTAAAGGTTTTTAACCTGCACTTTTTTAATTTTTTAAATCAAGCTCATTAAAAATTTTTCTCATATACCAAACGGACCCTAAATAAAAACATATGAGTAGATTTTGTGGAAAAATTACTTTTTATCTTGATACTTAAAGGAAATCAAAAAATATAATTTTGATTTCATAAACAAACACGGAAAACTATGAGCTTTTTAAGTGATATTTCTTAATTTTAATTTTTTAATCATTATTTTAGCTATATAAAAATCAAATTTACTTCTTTTATTTTTTATTCAGCTGTTCAAATTTCATTATTGCATCCTCCTTTTTTTAAAAATTATTTTTATAAAACTATTATTATTTTTATTAATGGAACGATTTTGAATAAGTTAGAAAAGATCTATAAATATTTTATATTTATTTAAATAGTTTTCTCTAAATTTAAGTGTCAAGATAAAAAGTAATTTTTCTACAAAATCTGCTCATATGTTTTATTTAGGATCCGTTTGGTATTAGAAAAAATGCGAGGAGGGGAGAAAAAAATTTTAATGAACTCGGTTTAAAAAATTGAAAAAGTGGGGGTTAAAAACTTTTAATTAATTTTTATTACTCTTTTATATTACTTTTTATTTTTATTAAAATTTGAAAATCCCACTTATCTAATTTTTTAAGTATAGTTTCATTAAAAAAAAAATTTTCCCTCCATTACTCTCAATTTCTATTAACTGTAATTTCTCTAAAATTAAATAGGCAGACGGATGCGCAATGGCATTTGCTGAAATGGGGTATTTAGCTGTAATTTTTGCCGAAAATGAAAAAAAAGTTGTCAAATTAGAAGTTCATCAGCAGGTGAACGATTTCTGCTTTTTATTTTAAAAATATAGGTGTCATCACGGCGTGAACGATTTCTAAAAAATGCAGCATATTAGGAAATAGTTTTCATAGTGCAGTATTTGGGTAATAATTTTTAATATTTACAGTGTTTTGATAAAAATGCTGTTAGTAAATTAAAGAAACCAAAGATGAAGAACAAGATGTGCGAAGTCGGAGAAAGCTGGAGGTGAAAAAACAGAGAAACAAACAAGGGTTAATGGAAGGCGCCAGAATCAAATTGAATTGGATAAAAGAAACGATAGGACAGCACAATCCATATAGCAGGGTAGATCAGCAGAAAAAGTAAGGATGATGGGATTACGCGTGCTCTCGGAACTCTACATTTTTATTTATGCACATAATTTAGTTATT